GCTCGTAGTCATGTTATGCTGCTACGTGTAGCAGCGCCCGAAGAGTAGTCATCTTCAGGGTCGGGGTGAAGGTATGAAAGAAGTCAACCCTCTCATGCTGATTGAAGCCACGAGCAACGTAGCGCGCCTTGAAGACAGGCGGTTCTCCAGGAGGGAGCTTCACCTTGAAGAGCCATCGGCCTTCGACTACGTTCACCCCACGTGGGGGAACTGCGTCGACGAAGGTACTGGTGGATCTCCAAGATGTCATCTCCTGCTCCATGGCAGCTATCTACTCAGAGGCCCAGGGTCCCGAGGTGGCCTCAGCGTAGGAGCGAGGGGTCAGGATGTTAAGGACGTCTGGGTCACCCTCACAGACTAGTAGCATGGAACAGAGATGGGGAGCGGCCTCTGACAGGAAAGCAAGCTCGTATGGTCTATCCTTTAGGACGTCACTACCAAGCGCAGCCACACCCCAGACGAACAAAGGGCAGGCAGGGTCAGAGATCAGAGTGGTGGTGTAGTCAATGCGGTGGGTAGCGGCGAAGTCAGTGACAGCAGCAACAAGAGCCGACATACTCGAGACAGGAACGGACGGGTCGGTAACAAGAGAGGCAAGGACAAGAGGAACAAGGGGACGCGCGGCACGGAGGAAGTCAGAGAACGGAGGCGGGGCCACAGCGAGCGACGACGGAGGAGGAGACGGGAGGATCAGAGGAGCACGAGACGCGTGGGAGCGAAGCAACATAGGGTGAGAATGCAGAACAGGGGGGGTAGGACGAGCACAAGACGGACGACGAGCCCAGACGTAAGACGGAGGAGGCGGGTCAGGAGAGAGGGGAGGAGACACAGGAGGAGAACGAGGAGGGAAACGAGCCGGAGAGGAGTCCGCTGGAGGAAACACAGGGCCATAGACCGGCAGAGGAGGAGGCGGTGGCGACCGAGGAGGCACCGGCGGGCAGTCAGGGGAAGGAAGGCCGAGGAGGCGAAGAGCGGACACCGGCGGCGACTGCGACGGCTGCTGCCCGACGCCAACACCAAAACCTCCAGCGGCACCACGGCTCCCTCCGAGAAGCCCCACGCAAGCACCCCTAGTCCAGAGGAGGGGGGCACCAGTGGCGGCCTTGGTACAAACAGCGTACATCTCGTGACCAGGGAACGTAGTGGTGACGCCGAGGTGCTGAAGACAGCCGACAAAAATTAGATTCCGAGAGAACGAGGGGATGTAAGAGAGCCCGAAGGAATTGCCGGACAGGGGAGGGTGGTGGAACTACGGGCGACTACCTGACCTGAGAAAGGGTCTGCAAGGGTTACTGTGACAGGGACGGCAAGCGGCATAAGCGTAGTATGGTCCCGAAAGAAACACGGAGATGTGCCAGAGTCGAGAGTGAAGGAGAGCGCGGCACTTGCGGCTGGGGGTGGAGGAGCTAAGGTGGAGCCAAGGCTAAACAAAGCAAAGGGTCATACGCCTGACGTAGCAAGGGAGCCTAAACTACGCACACTGGGTACACCTACACTAGGCAACACAAGGTAATAGGAACGAGTCACTTTAGAGTCATTGACATACAGCACATGCAATGCAGAGCTAATCTCACTAATGTCTATATCAAAGATCCTAACACCACGGCAGAATAGACTGTGCCAGTCGGGGAGGTCTGGCGCGGGGCCGAAGCGGAGACAAAACAGGTCGTCAAGGCGACTGAAACAATGAGTGGGTGTATGACCGATCTTACCGTACACGAGGCCGCGAAGAGGACCGGTCTGGAGCTGGTACTGGCAGCGCCCATCACTCGCACCACCACCTGACGACGAGCTATGTGCACGACCACCGCGACCACCACTACCACCGGCGCCAGGCCACCCAGGCGGGAGGCGGCCGACCCTCCGCTGCGACTACTGGTGCTGCGGCTGCTGCTGCTGCTGGTGGTCAAGCTGTGGCACCTGCTGTTGCTCCCGCTGGGGCTGCTGCTCCGAGGCCCCAGCCCCAGCCCCCTCGTCGGTACTACCGCCAGCGGGTGAACCTCCTCCACCACCACCTCCACCCCCTCCTGCACTACCACCGCCACGCCCAGCCTTAGGGCGGCGGGCCTTACCATAACGGGACTGCGTTGCGGCCACCGCGACAGCGGTCTCAGCAGCAGGGGCTGTCTCAGCTACAGCCGCAGTACCGTCACAGTAAGTGCACTAAGCGAGAGCACAACCATGAAAGATAGGGACTGGCGCAATACCGCTAGACTGGGCGATAGAGCGCTGACGAGTCTTTATGGCAGACAGGGTGTCGACAGAGTCAGGGAGGGTGAGGTCAGCGGGGTGCAGACTCAGAAAGTGGTCGCGGGTAGTGGCAAGGCGGTCAAGGAGGCGGGTGGCAAGCAGGTAAAGGTTAGAGCAGATAGGGGGCTGGAACACACGAAGCTGGGCCTCAGTGCAGGCAGCGCGCCAGCTCACGTCGAGCGTGGCCAGGTCAGCGACAGTGGAGAAAGACGCGAGATCAGGGAAGAGCATGGGAAGGATCAAGCGGCTGGCAGAGGGAGAGGACGAGTTGAAATAACGCTCGACAACAGCCTCTAGGAACTCCTGCGCAGTCCTGGCCGACTTAAAGTGGGGGCGCTCAGACAGGGGAAGGGCATGGCTAATCACGAGCTGAGTGGCAGCGTCACGCGACAGCCAGACAGCACGGGCAAGGGCAGCAGCGCCGGCGAATTCACAGTCAGCAGACGTGGGGTGAGCGGGGAGAGCAGCAGGGGGGTCAGGGCAGGGGAGCGTACCGTTAATGTGGACGGCCAGGGAGTGGCAGTCCTGCATCTGACCAGTGAGGTGACGGCGGAGGTCGACGAGCCATGCGTTGAACTCAACCGGCTGACCCACCGCGTCAAAGCGCAGCACCGAGTCCGTCATTAAGGCCGCTGCAGCCGCGAACAGGTGGTGAAGGGCGGGACGGAGCGACGAGGAGTAGTGGGGAGTAATGCTGTACGGTGCAGTGTGGTGGAATACGGTACAGTGCAGTGCGGTGCTGAGCGATGCAGCACGGTGGGGCGCGGTGCAGGACGGTGGAGAGGGCCGGTTTAGCGAGCGGGGACCGGGAATCACGGCGGAGTGGGGGGGGCTGAGGAGCTGGGAGACGGGGCCGCGGGGCGGCTGGGCGATGGGGCCGCGGGGTGTCTAGGTGACAGGGCCGCGGGGCAGCGGGGCAACGAGGTCGCGGGGCGGCTGGGCGACAGGGCCGCGAAGCAGCGGGGCGTCGAGGCCGCGGGGCGGCTGGGCAACGGGGCCGCTGAGCAGCGGGGCGACAAGGCCGCGTGGCGGCTGGACGACGAGGCCGCGGGGCAGCTGGGCGACGGGGCCGCGGGCGGCTAAGCGACGGGGCGGCTTGGGGACGGGTTGGTAGGGCAGCTACGCTAGGGGCGACGCAGCCGCGGGGCCAGCAGGACGGCTAGGCGCAAGGCGACGAGGCGACAGGGCCACGAGGCCGTTAGGCGCCAGGTGACGAGACGACGGGGGACAGGGGCGGCTAGGCACTGGGTGACGGGGCCACGGGGCCACGGGCGGCTAGGCGCTAGGTGACGGGGCCGCGGGGCCAGGGGGGCGGCGCTAGATGGCAGGGCAACGGGGCCACGGGCGGCTAGGCGCTAGGGAACGGGGCCGCGGGGCCAGCAGGCGCTAGGAGACGGGGCCGACGAACGGGGCAGCGGGGCCAACGGGGCGGCTAGGCGCTAGGCGACGGGGCCGGCTAGGACCAAAGGCGAAAGCGCGGGTGGGCGGGGGGGACCTAACCCGCTCTGATACCATCTTAGAGTTAGAATTGTAGAGTAGAATGAGAGTATATATGGGTATATAGCTAGTGGGTTGTACTCTCTATGGCATGACCCTATGTACTCTACTAAACATACACACATATGTTTGACACACCTGGCACTACTGCTGGATCAATCTCCTACCGTTTTCAGAGGCACCGAACTGACCCTGTCGGGGTGTGCAATCTCTATAGCAGATTCCTCGTGTGTAAATGCTCGGTGAAGTTATGGCCTCAGAGTGCCTGTTACAACCCAAATTCATTTACTGTATTTGCCCGGATTCAACACCCTGAAAAAATTAAAGCTCCAGTGGGGCTTATTTCCGGCAGTTCTTTTATCACGGTTTCTCACTGTATAGACCCGTTCTTTCCGTTGTATATAGGAAAAGCCCCTTTTAACCATTTATGCTGAATATGTCTACTTTCGATACAAGTTTACAGGTCGAAGCAAAAGGCAAGAAACGAGGGAGTTGCGAGACTAGGAACGTGTAGTAGGGGAGCTGAGCGCATCAGGTTGTGCGAGGTAGGAATGAGGGTCACGCCTATCCGGTTGTGGCATCTGGCAGGAATCGAGTCCAATTTCCCTCCAGCAGTTCGTCATCCAGTTTCGATGCGAAAACGCCGACAGGGAAATGTGAAACAGGAAGGGTAACGGAAAATCACTTCAATTTTTCCATTTTACCTTTACATTTTAGAAGCCCCGTATCTTTTATTAATTTACTCAGTTGTAAGCAACACCCCTAAATTGCTCCTAAAACGATATAAGAGCACGTAGTGCTATATCCGGGCAAATACGGTAGCATTTTATATTTTTCCAGCCTACTGTTAACACCCATACGTTTTTTTCATGATTTTTTCACAATACCCTAGGGTGCTATATACGGGGGAATACGGTAATATAGACCAACCAAGCCATGGCTACATGATTTCAAAATATGTAAAATTTTAAAGTGTTCACACTTTCAAAATAGTGTATTGTGAATGCAAAGCTGCTTGTAACGCAATCTCAGGCATCGTCGAAGCGCGCTATTCGCCCTTCTCCAACCATATAATGCGGTTGGGGGTCATTCTTCCTCCACCCACGTTTTTCATTTTTCCCAGCTCAAGTTCAATTCCCGCCCACCCAACCCGCTTCATCTACCCTCTTCAGCACGCACCGCTTAGGTGGATAATCCTCGGCATAGACATATCCCTCCTAGTGTAGAAAGTTTATGCTAATATATGAATATATTGGGAACTCTTTGTACTTGATGCTAGTGGAATGAGAACGGTGCCATTTGCATTACAAGTAGTAGTAAGCTTTGTCAATCAAATGTTTGATGATCATCACTTCCCACTCTGACAGCATTCATCTGATCTCATAGTGCCTGTATCGTTCCTACGCACTACTCCAGGTTGCTGCGCTAGTGAATACAGCGGAAAGAGCTGAAGAATATCCCAAGAAATATGCTGCAAAAAAATGGGTCAAATGCACGTAGGTAGAACATCAGTTTAGGAGTCATGCAGGGATGAAGATGTTAAGATAGCAAAAGTAACTCTAGCAGGGCATACAAGTGGAATATAAGATTTTGTGTTGTACTCTCTAAGAGCACGTCCCTGTCTAGCCTATAACTATACATATAACAGATATGTAGTTGACAGAAGAATGAATGGGAAGGTGAGAATCTAAAGAATGTGACGCACGCAGGAGAGAGCGAGAAAGTGAGGAAGAGATGGAGGGAGCAAGGATCTGAATGAGGTGACTTTTGAGTCGACTCAAAAGTCACCTCAAGATGAGGGAGCACGGATCTGAAGGTGACGAGCGATGAGTGCGCACCAATGCGTGGTCGGACACGCAATTGGTGCTTGTGCTCGTGCATACATGGGAGCGTGAGGAATGGCGATGGCATGTTGATAAAAAAAGGCTCACTATTTTCACACAACAATCACACCGGATGAACCTTCTTTGGCCCTCACGGATGCTTCTTTGAAACAAATGGGTAAAAAAAAAAAGCGAGAAAAAAAAACCGTCTAAAAAAGGGGGAGGGGAGAGGGAAAGCATGCGACTCACGGAAAGGTCTGTGTGACAATGCCAGTTGCGCCAATTTCGCCCATCCTGTAGAGCGGGGTTGGCTGCCCCTCACACCCCAGCCCGCCATACGCGTAGAGATTCGCGCAGTCGCCCACGCCGCCAGGCGCACCCTCCACGCGGGTGTACGACTCGACGTAGGAACGGCCCCACCAAGTGAGGTTGGTGCAGCCGTCGTAGTTCACGCGCAGCGTGTACGTGCCCTGCGTTATAACAAAGTCAGGCTGCTCGAAGAAGGTGAAGCTGGTGGACGAGACGGTGGGGGTGGCGCCTGGAAGAGGGGGGGGGGGAGGAGAGGCCACACAGGGGAATGAGACGAGGGGAAACGCACGGGGATGTTTTACTCTGCTGCAGTAGCCCACCCTGCCAGGAGCTCCCTCCGCACGGAAGTCCGGTGCGTCGAAGAAGGTGAAGCTGGTGGAGGAGACGGTGGGGCGAACTGGAGGGGAGCGGAGCAGGGTATGGCATGTGGGGACAAAGCCGGGAGTGGAAGGAGGGGAATGGGGAGTAGATGGTGACGCTGCTGCAAGACATGGTGGGGCTGGCGCCTGGAGGGGGGCGAAGCACAGGGTGGTGTACGGCACGTGTGTGCGAGACAGAAGCGTACGTGACATGAGAGAGACATGAGCGCAGAGTGGGCATACCTGGGATGCATGCCTTGTTATCTTACATACCTAGGACGCAACCAGACTCCGTCATGCCATAGCCGGGGGCGCAGAGGCAGTAAGCAGATGCGGACCTGGGGATCAAAGTGCACGTGGCTCCTGAAGGGCATTTCCCACATGAGGCGGGCCCTGTGGAGAGAAGAACAGGGGAGAAGACAGCATGTGACAACAGGGAGGGAGAGAGTGTGAGCTAGATAGTATGCGCTTTGCTGAGAGGAACCCAGGTGCACGTGGCTCCTGAAGAGCATTTCCCACATGAGGCGGGTCCTGTGAAGAGAAGGAACAGAGGAGAAGACAGCGAGACACATTAGGGGAGAAGACATCGAGACACATTAGGGGAGAAGCCAGCGAGACACATTAGGGGAGAAGGCAGCGAGACACATTAGGGGAGAAGCCAGCGAGACACATTAGGGGAGAAGCCAGCGAGACACATTAGGGGAGAAGCCAGCGAGACACATTAGGGGAGAAGCCAGCGAGACACATTAGGGGAGAAGCCAGCGAGGCACATTAGGGGAGAAGAGAAGAAGGGGGGAAGTTAGGGTGACACGCTAGGGGAGAAGAAACTACTCATGTCACGTGCCAGCACACGTACGTACCTAATGCTTGAACTAGGCCGACACATACCAACACACGTGCCATACACCATCTGGTATTTGCGCACACAGGATACCTCGTTTGCTTTATCCCTTCCACACAGGATTCCCCTGCGGCCCCTTAAGTGTCAGCTACTCACACACCTTCATCCCTTATCTAAGGCTACTCACACACCTTCATCCCTTATCTAAGGCTACTCACACACCTTCATCCCTTATCTAAGGCTACTCACACACCTTCATCCCTTATCTAAGGCTACTCACACACCTTCATCCCTTATCTAAGGCTACTCACACACCTTCATCCCTTGTCTAAGGCTACTCACACACCTTCATCCCTTATCTAAGGCTACTCACACACCTTCATCCCTTATCTAAGGCTACTCACACATGTGTAACGAGTCAGCTACTCCTGTCATGTACCCCGACACGTGCAGTTCAATACACCATCTGATATCTGCACACGCATGCCATTCCACACGCATGCCATTCCACACGCATGCCATTCCACACGCATGCCATTCCACACGCATGCCATTCCACATGCATGCCATTCCACACGCATGCCATTCCACACGCATGCCATTCCACACGCATGCCATTCCACATGCATGCCATTCCACACGCGTGCCATTCCACACGCATGCCATTCCACACGCATGCCATTCCACACGCATGCCATTCCACATGCATGCCATTCCACACGCATGCCATTCCACACGCATGCCATTCCACACGCATGCCATTCCACATGCGTGCCATTCCACACGCATGCCATTCCACACGCATGCCATTCCACACGCATGCCATTCCACACACATGCCATTCCACATGCATGCCATTCCACACGCATGCCATTCCACACGCGTGCCATTCCACACGCGTGCCATTCCACACGCGTGCCATTCCACACGCGTGCCATTCCACACGCGTGCCATTCCACACGCGTGCCATTCCACACGCGTGCCATTCCCACCGCCACCACGCGTGCCATTCCACACGCGTGCCATTCCACACGCGTGCCATTCCACACGCGTGCCATTCCACACGCGTGCCATTCCACACGCATGCCATTCCACACGCGTGCCATTCCACACGCGTGCCATTCCACACGCGTGCCATTCCACACGCTCCACACGCGTGCCATTCCACACGCATGCCATTCCACACGCATGCCATTCCACACGCATGCCATTCCACACGCATGCCATTCCACACGCATGCCATTCCACACGCATGCCATTCCACACGCATGCCATTCCACACGCATGCCATTCCACACGCATGCCATTCCACACGCATGCCATTCCACACGCATGCCATTCCACACGCATGCCATTCCACACGCATGCCATTCCACACGCATGCCATTCCACACGCATGCCATTCCACACGCATGCCATTCCACACGCATGCCATTCCACACGCATGCCATTCCACACGCATGCCATTCCACACGCATGCCATTCCACACGCGTGCCATTCCACACGCGTGCCATTCCACACGCGTGCCATTCCACACGCGTGCCATTCCACACGCGTGCCATTCCACACGCGTGCCATTCCACACGCGTGCCATTCCACACGCGTGCCATTCCACACGCGTGCCATTCCACACGCGTGCCATTCCACACGCGTGCCATTCCACACGCGTGCCATTCCACACGCGTGCCATTCCACACGCATGCCATTCCACACGCATGCCATTCCACACGCATGCCATTCCACACGCATGCCATTCCACACGCATGCCATTCCACACGCATGCCATTCCACACGCATGCCATTCCACACGCATGCCATTCCACACGCATGCCATTCCACACGCATGCCATTCCACACGCATGCCATTCCACACGCATGCCATTCCACACGCATGCCATTCCACACGCATGCCATTCCACACGCGTGCCATTCCACACGCGTGCCATTCCACACGCGTGCCATTCCACACGCGTGCCATTCCACACGCGTGCCATTCCACACGCGTGCCATTCCACACGCGTGCCATTCCACACGCGTGCCATTCCACACGCGTGCCATTCCACACGCGTGCCATTCCACACGCGTGCCATTCCACACGCGTGCCATTCCACACGCGTGCCATTCCACACGCATGCCATTCCACACGCATGCCATTCCACACGCGTGCCATTCCACACGCGTGCCATTCCACACGCGTGCCATTCCACACGCGTGCCATTCCACACACGTGCCATTCCACACACCTGCCATTCCACACACGTGCCATTCCACAAACCTGCCATTCCACACACGTGCCATTCCACACACGTGCCATTCCACGCCATTCCACACATGCCTGCAGTGGCGACTGCTCCTGCTCCAGCTGCTTTGGTAAGGCTCCAATCCAACGGCATCCACAGCCCACCTGTACTCCATCTACGGCTGCTAGCCTGCTATCAGTTGTATTTTGAGTCGACTCAAAATACTCCTGCTATCACACGCCTGCTATCACACGCCTGCTATCACACGCCTGCTATCACATGCCGAAACACGAGCTACTTCTGTCACGTACCGACACACGTGCCGTACAGCATCTGGTATTTGCACACACAGGACCCCATACCCTCAGCATCCTTCACGCATTCATGGTTGCCGTCACAGAATGAACATGGATCTGCGTGGGGAGAAGCAGTTCGAGAGCATTGGAGACCGTTGAGTGGTTGACGCCACAGATAGAACACAGATAGAATATGGACAGGACACCACGCCTGCAGCATGCTTCACGCAAGCATGGTTGCCGTCACAGAACGAACACGGATCTGCAAGAAGAGGGTGAGAGGGAGGGGGAGGGGAGGAAGGATTCAGGAGCCCGAGGACTCAATGTTATCATCACAAACAGCACACACAGGGCTGGACACCACGCCTGCAGCATGCTTCACGCATGCATGGTTGCCGTCACAGTAAGAACACGGATCTGCAAGAAAGGGGTTCAAGGGGGCGGGGAGGGGAGGAGTTCAGGAGCCCGGAAGATTTTGAAGCGGGCTCAAGGTTGCCATCACAGACATGATATCCCACCCCCAGCATCCTTCACGCATGCATGGTTGCCGTCACAGAACAAACACGGATGTGCAAGAAAGGGGGTGTTGGGAGGAGTGGGTTGCCACGGGGTGATAAGTCAACCTGTTTTGAGGCTTCTGTTCGTCATAAGCCATTGTCACACACACACGATAGCTGTCAGCAGTACACAGCAGCACACAGCAGCACACAGCAGCACACATCAACACACAGCCGCACACAGCAGCACACAGCAGCACACAGCAGCACACAGCAGCACACAGCAGCACACAGCACAGCAGCACACAGCAGCACACAGCAGCACACAGCAGCACACAGCAGCACACAGCAGCACACAGCAGCACACAGCAGCACACAGCAGCACACAGCAGCACACAGCAGCACACAGCAGCACACAGCAGCACACAGCAGCACACGGCAGCACACGGCAGCACACGGCAGCACACGGCAGCACACGGCAGCACACGGCAGCACACGGCAGCACACGGCAGCACACGGCAGCACACGGCAGCACACGGCAGCACACGGCAGCACACGGCAGCACACGGCAGCACACGGCAGCACACGGCAGCACACGGCAGCACACGGCAGCACACGGCAGCACACAGCAGCACACAGCAGCACACAGCAGAACACAGCAGCACACAGCAGCACACAGTAGCACAGAGCTGCACACAGCAGCACACAGCAGCACACAGCAGCACACAGTAGCACACAGCTGCACACAGAAGCACACAGCAGCACGCAGCCGCACACAGCCGCATACAGCAGCACACAGCAGAGCAGAGCCTACCTCTGCACGATCTGCCATCATTGCTCGGCTCAAAGCCCGGGTAACAAACACAGGACGCCACTCCAGCAGAGTCCACCTGGCACGTGGTGTTGGCTCCACAGTTCCGGACGGCGCAGGGGCCTGCGGGGGAAGGGGGGGGGGGAGGGAAGGGTGGGAAGGGTGGGAAGGGTAAGAAGGGTGGGAAGGGTGGGAAGGGAGGATGGGAGGATGGAAGGAGAGGGGGCGCGAACGGGGAGAGAGTGTGGGAAGGGAATTGGGCGTGTGAGGGTGGGACTACCGAGGAAAAGCACTCACTCACCCCACCCACACTAACGCAGCTGAAGGAATGGTAAAAACTCCCAGGAAAGAAGCTCAGTAAGAGGAGCAGGGCTGAAGGGCTGAAGGGTCGACAAGAACACCCAGGAAACAACACTCACCGAGAGGAACACAGCTGAAGGAACGGTAGGGGTACGATCCCACAGGCGAATAGTTGCTGCCGGATGGGGGAGAAAACGCACAAGGGGAGACTTTTGAGTCGACTCAAAACGCACCAGGGGAGGGATAGATGCATGCATACACGGACATATGATGTGACAGACAAACGATTGAAATATGAGAATCAGGGGGGGGGGAGGGAGATCAGAGGGGTTGAGATGAGGAAGAGGAAGAAGAGGCAGGGGGGAGGGGGAGGGGGGGGGGGGGAGATCAGATGGGAAGGGGAAGATGAGAGTAGGGGGGCACGTTGACCCCCCTGCACTCAAGCCGGTTCCATTCAACAGAGGAGAGGGAGAGAGAGCACCTCCTGCCGTTCGTCAGGTTCTCCTATGGCCAACCATCGCGTTTGCTGCTTGACGCGGGGTTTGATAGCCCTCCGCTCCTCAGTGAGCGCGGAGTCCGCCAGGAAGACCCGCTCGGACCGCTGCTCTACGCCGCACCTATCCACCCCGCCCTCCGAGCCACGGCGGACGCCCACCCCTCCGTCCTCTGCCTCGCCTACGCCGATGACACCTCCTTCCTAGGCGACCCTGCCGATTGCACCTCCGCCTTTACACATTTTACAGCTGCCCTCGCCGACCTTGGCCTGACGCACAACCCCGACAAGTGTGCCGCCTGGTCGGCGACACGACCGGCGCCGCACCTGCTGCCGCCGGAGATCCCCTTCCGTATGGACGGCCTTCGAGTACTCGGCAGCCACATCGGCCCCCCGGAGGGGGCCGCCACCTTCCTTAGGGCCCAGCTCGCCTCCATGGCGTCTCCCTTACCTGTCCTAGCCACTATGGACCCGCAAGTGGTGTCCTTACTGCTCCACCGGTGCATCTCGCGCCGAGTCTCATACCTCGTGCGCACGACACCCGTGAACCTGCTCCCGACAGCCGAGTGGTCCAGGTGGGGGCAAGACCTCTTCTACACGCTCCTGCGGGCGAGTGGCCTGCAGACGCCTCGAGGGGAAACTGAACAGTGTCGCACCTGGGCCCAAGCTTCACTACCGCCCTCACTAGGAGGCCTTGGCCTCACAGACCCCGCGGTGGAAGGCCCGCACTCCTTCCTGACTAGCAGCACCCGCGCTCACGCCCTCCTCGCCTCCCTGCCCGCTGCGGCTGCTAGCCCTCTGACAAAAGCCCTCCGGCCCTTGGCAAATCCGTTCACCAGCCCCACTACCCTTCATACCTGGCTGACGGAGTGTGAAGCTACACTTCCGCCACGTGCCCTTGAGCTACTGCAGTCGGAACGCGCCGAGGCGTCCGATGTACCCTTGCAGCACCGCCTTTCTCTAGAGGTCCAGGCAGCCCGCTATGCTGACCAGGTGGAGGCCAGCCGCAGCATGGCGCTTAACCCCAACAGCGGCCATACGCCTCTTCTCCCTCACGGGGTATGGCGCGGGGGACTGGCTCCTGGCCATCCCCCTATTCCCCTCCCTCCGGCTCCGCCCCCGCACTTCGCGATCGCCCTAGCCTTTCGCTTGGGCCTCCCCCTCCCGGTCCCAAGGGTCTGCAACTGCGCCCAGCGGATGGAAATCCCCGACCCGCGTCTCCCGAACCACCTGCTACGCTGTGGGACGGGGCACGGGCGCACTGACACGCATAATGCTCTTCGGGACGAGTGCATCCGCATGGCGCGAGATGCACAGTTCATCGTCGAGAAAGAAACTGCCACCTATACCCCAATTGGCGACCAGACTGCCGACCTGGCAATCGGGGACCGAGACTCGGGTGCTGTATGGATCTGTGACGTCACCGTCACCGACCCGATCAGCAGCCGCGACCCCCTGGCACGGAAAGGGAGGGGGTACATGGCGCGGGAGCAAGCAGACAAGGAGATGGACCACTATCGCAACCGCGCGCCGTACGTCGGTTTCTTCCCCCTCGCCGTGGAGACCTACGGGTGTCCCTGTGCCGAGGTGCCCGCTTTTCTACAGCTCTTGGCCAATACCGGCGCCCGCCACCTCTTCAATGCGAACCCGAGCTCGTACCAAGCCGCCAAGCTGCTCAACCAGTTTCGGCAGTGGTGGTCGGTCACTCTCCAGCGCGGGCAGGCCCTCTCATACCTCGGCAAGGTGAATGAAGCCTCCCCGCTCGAGGGGCCCGTCCTTGGGGCGCCAGACGAAGGCATGCCCCTCGGGGACTGCTTCGTCATTTTGGAGCCCACTGGGGAGCTAACGTAGGCTAGCCAGGGGAGGGAGAGAGGTTTAGGATGCATGCCCGTTCCCGACCCATTTGCCTAGCTCTGTACACAGGCTCCTAATGAATACAAAGGACCGCTTGAGAGAGAGCGAGCCAGTTTTCAACCTACTGCAGCTCGCCTGGTCATAAGCGACAACAGACGAGCTGCAGTGGTTTTCCCAGCCCTCGTAATTCCCCTTCCAAGTCTCGCAATTTCCCAGTTCTTGTGATTCCCGAACCGACCCTCCAGAGCTGTGGCTCACATCGAAACGAACCCCTGGCGCTCAGGCCGGTTCCATTCGAGTTAGGGGCAAGTCAAGTGGGCACAACACAGACGCACGGACGCCAGTGTCCCTTGGCATTGGGAGCTCTCCAAAGGGTGCCCTCTTGGCATCAGCGCACATCTCCTCTTGACCTCCAGGCACCCTCCAGGCACCCTCCAGGCACCCTCCAGGTACCCTCCAGGCACCCTCCAGGCACCCTCCAGGCACCCTCCAGGCACCCTCTCCAGGCACCCTCCAGGCACCCTCCAGGCACCCTCCAGGCACCCTCCAGGCACCCTCCAGGCACCCTCCAGGCACCCCCTCCAGGCACCCTCCAGGCACCCTCAAGGCATAAGGAAACGAAGCAAGGTGGCTCACATTGAATGATGGAAATCCCGGCGCTTTTGGCACGTGCGCCGGCTTCCCATCTTCCGGGCTCAGGCCAGATCCATTTGAGGAAGGAGGGAGCCAAGTGCGCGCTGCTCTTGGCATCTCTCTCTCCTGAGGGCACCCATGGACAGCCGCACAGATTCCCCCCCCCCCCCCCCCCCCCACACCCCCCCCACATCCACCCCCACACCCCCCCCCCCACCCCCACCCCTTCCTCCCCCCTCCGGATTCATCAAGTGACGCAAGACAAAGCAAGTGACTCTCCTTTCACAAGGTCTGTGGCTCACATCGACCCCCCGGCGCTCATGCCAGTTCCACTCGAGGCAGGGAGGAGCGAGGTGCGCAGCCCTTGGCAGCTCCCTAAAGAGTATCCATACAGCGCCGCGCAGCTCCCCACCCCTCCAGGCACCCCGTCGACGCGCCACAGCGAGAGGGCGTTCGAGGCAACAGATGCAGGGATGCTGGTGCAGCCGTTGTACTCCAGGCGCATGGTGTAGGTGTTGGGCGTTACTGTGTAGTTGGTGCGATCATAGAAGGTGAAGCTGGTGGAAGAGACAGAGGGGGTGGCTCCTGGCAGGGGAAGAGAGCACGAGGGGGTGAAGAGACGGGAATGGGGTGAAGTGACGGGAATGGGGTGAAGTGACGGGAATGGGGTGAAGTGACGGGAATGGGGTGAAGAGACGGGAATGGGGTGAATTGGAAAAGGAATGGAGGGGCACAGCCAGCGTGTCATAGCCGAAAGGACAGACGCAGTATGTAATGATGCAAGGACCAACGTGCAGTAGAACTGGCCGAGCACCAAAACTAGCAGCACCTACCTACCTTGGGCACAAGCACCATGGAGCATGCCGTAGCAGGGCTGGCTGTGTTAGGTTTTGAGAAATTTAAAACCATAACAAAGCCCAACTAGCAGTACCTACGTACCTTGGGCACAAGCACCGTGGAGCATCCCATAGCCGGGAGGGCAGGCGCAATACGGAACGAGGCCCATGGCAACAGTGCACGCGGCCCCTGTGGGGCAGCTTCCACATGTTCCTGGGGAGAAAGGAAGGAAGCAAGGGATAGTGTGAGACAGAGATAGGATCTGACAGGGATAGAACCGATCTCTGCCGAGAGGTCCATCTGTGCTCGTGGCTCCTTGCTTCCACATGTGCCAGATTCTGGAAGACATGAGAGCGCGGGAGCAGGGGGGGGATAGAGTGACATGACGCATGAGAGCGCGGGAACAGGGGGGGATAGCGTGACATGACGCATGAGAGCGCGGGAACAGGGGGGGGATAGCGTGACATGACGCATGAGAGCACGGGAACAGGGGGGGGATAGCGTGACATGACGCATGAGAGCACGGGAACAGGGGGGGATAGCGTGACATGACGCATGAGAGCGCGGGAACAGGGGGGGGATAGCGTGACATGACGCATGAGAGCACGGGAACAGGGGGGGGATAGCATGACATGACGCATGAGAGCACGGGAACAGGGGGGGGATAGCGTGACATGACGCATGAGAGCGCGGGAACAGGGGGGGGATAGCGTGACATGACGCATGAGAGCACGGGAACAGGGGGGGGATAGCGTGACATGACGCATGAGAGCACGGGAACAGGGGGGGGATAGCGTGACATGACGCATGAGAGCACGGGAACAGGGGGGGGATAGCGTGACATGACGCATGAGAGCACGGGAACAGGGGGGGGATAGCGTGACATGACGCATGAGAGCACGGGAGCAAGAGCGGCACACAGCTAAGCGACTGCAAATAGCGGAGGCACACAGCAGCACAGTGGCACACAGCGGCACCTACCAGAGCACGTTCTCCCATCAGGCTGCAGCACAAAGCCAGCGTCACAAACACAGGATGCCACTCCAGCGGCGTTCTTGGTGCACGTGCCATTCCCACCACACGCCTTGAGCTCACATGCGTCTTTGGGGCGGGGAGGAGGGAACAGAAACAGTAGATGTGAAAGGATTGTATGGCAGAAGAGAAGCCGACTCTGACATGACATCAACCTATCCGCATGCCATCAACCTATCCGCATGCCATCAACCTATCCACATGCCATCAACCTATCCGCATGCCATCACTACAGATGATACATACCACTGACCGTTCAGTGCTGAAATACATAGCAGCAGTGCCACAGCTAAGCAGTGGCATATAGGGTCGGCACACAGGGACAGCACACAGCAACACAGCGGCACCTACCAGAGCACGTTCTCCCATCAGGCTGCAGCACAAAGCCAGCGACACAAACACAGGATGCCACTCCAGCGGCGTTCTTGGTGCACGTGCCGTTCCCACCACACGCCTTGAGCGCACAGGTGTCTGGGGGAGGGGAGAGGTGGAGGGAGCAGTAGAGGTGAAGGGGGCGTTTCAGTGCTGTCCTTGTTGCCCCTGAGGCACTTGCTGCCGTTCCCACCGCACGCCTTGAGCTCGCAGGTGTCTGGGTGGGAGGGAAGGGAAGAATAAGGGACAGGCGATGCAAACAGAGAATAAGAATTCACCAAGCACTCAAAACATGAGAATCAGTGAGTGAGTGAGATTGTCATCAAGCAGAGCAACACATGGCCTCATGAGCACAGCATACAAACGAGTTTCAGCATTCAGCAGCAGCACATAGCAGCACGCACCAGTGCACGTCCTGCCATCTGCCTGCAGCACGAAGCCAGTGCCACAAACGCAGGACGCCACTCCAGCACTGTTCTTGATGCACGTGCCGTTCCCACCACACTTCTTTAGTGCGCAAGTGTCTGAGAGGAGAAGGGAGGGAGGAGCGTGTGGGGGAAGTCGGCGTGGAAGGGAGTTAGGCGTGGAAGTTGGGAGTTGGGAGATGGGAGATTGTGAATAAGAAGATGAAGGAAATTAATAATCCACATGATATCACAATCCACCAGCTGTGTTGATGACGGTCTGATTGGGCTCCTGACGGGGTGCTCTGAATACCGGGCTCCGGACACCGCAGGCTCCTAATACCAGGCTCCTGGGACCTAAGTGAATACCTTTCGGAGGTCCTTTCAACAGCACTCGCCAGCGCAGCAGCACTCACCAGCGCAGCCAGTGAAAGTCATGGAAAAGCCAACGTTGCAGACGCAGGCGGCATCGCCCCTCTCCTTCACGCAGTACGCATTGGCGCCGCAGTTCCGAATGACACACGAGTCTGCCAGGTATTTGGCACGAGGGAGAGGCAATGGAGGGAGAGGGGGTGCATGATGCATCGCCTCTCTGCTTTCACGCAGACAGCATTGGCCCCACAGTCCCTGATCTCACGACTCTGCCGGGTTATTCAGAACGCAATGACTACTAAGGCACCGGGTGGGTTCTGTGCACTGCATTGCCATGCGTGCTACTGTACTTGCGCACGGCGCAGTGCTCGATGCACGCAGGATTGCACAGTGTGCTGTTGTCGATTCACATACGCGCGCAGGATGATGCAGTGGAATCCTATAAGAAGAATAGAGAACACTGGAGCACTCCCCGCCCAAACCCTTGAGTGCTGGTAACTTACGATCGGCGGCGTTACTGGTAGCTGGCAGGCGAACGGCAGCAGCCCCGGGCGCACGGGCTGCGAGGAGGAAAGTGGGTGAGAGGGGGAGGAAAGTGGGCGAGAGAGGGAGGAAAGTGGGTGAGAGAGGGATGAAAGTGGGTGAGAGAGGGAGGAAAGTGGGTGAGAGAGGGAGGAAAGTGGGTGAGAGAGGGAGGAAAGTGGGTGAGAGAGGGAGGAAAGTGGGTGAGAGAGGGAGGAAAGGGAATCGGGTAAGGGGGGAAGGAAGGGATGGCTGAAAAAGGGGGAGGCGAATGGCAGCAGCGGGCGTTACTGATAGCTGGCAGGCGGACGGAAGCTATGGGCTCACAGGCCGTGAGAAAGGGGAGGGGGAAGGGGGGAGGAAGGCTTGAAGGGCGGAAGGGGGGAAGGGGGGAAGGGGGGAAGGGGGGAAGGGGGGAGGGGCGGAAGGGGGAACGAAAGTGGAAAAGGGCAGCGGGAAAAGAGGAGGAATGGGCAAGGGTGTGGTGAAGAGCCTCCAGAGATTGCGAGGGTGGGATTGAGAATGGTGGATAAGACGCATCATGTCAGTCCAGGGTGGGAAATTCTTTCCCCAATCAAATATGGCATACCTGAGACCTGAGAGCACACCCGAGAGCACACCTGAGAGCATGAGAGCAGCCAGTGCAGCGAGCACAAGGCCAGAGCGTCGCATCACAGCCACGCCGTGAGAACGGGCCATGCCTCAGTATCGCTTCAGAAATATGCGGGCGATAATGAGAAGATGGGTCAAATGAGGAGGTTGTCGCAGCAGAAAACCTAGGAGCAGCAGGAGCAGCGGCAACCGCAGGATCGGTCACTACAAAGAAGCACGAAGACGTTCTAGTAGGTACCCCGCAGCGGCGAAAGTGGCGTTAGAACTTGTAGCAGTAGACTGTAACGGCGACGACAGTGTAGACCTCACACAGAGCTGAAAGTCCAGGGACGTCCTGCAGACTCAGCGTAGTACCAGTGTCGTAGTTTACCACTGAGCTGAAGATCCAAGAAAGCAGCAGTACAGCTAGGACTAGAAGTAGACCGGAGTGGGTACAGTCGTGTTGTGTCGTTCTACTGGGCGGAAGACGATGCGCTTTGCGACGATGGGTGGAAAAACCTTGGTACAGAAACCTAGTAGCGTTGAAGAGTACGGTCGTTGTGCTTTTGCGAGACAGAACCTCGCAAGGCGGATACGCGAAGCTCGGACGGAAAACGGCGTGGAACCGAAACCAATCTGACTCAGCTTCAAGCTGACACGCGCCCACATCATCACGGCTTGCCGGCATACTTGGTTCAACCAATGATAGGTCGTCAGTGAGGGGGTATCAAGTGAAGGTGACAGACGTCTGACGTGGCTCAAGAAACCTTGGTTTACGGAGTATGGGGTTGAACTGGGTTGGGATGGATTGGGCTACATTGGATCAAATTCGGTTGGGTTGAATTGGGTCAGGAATTTTTATTCCAGCCACGCAGGGTCAGGCAGCCTGTCCTGCTCCGTGTGTACGTCCCTACTACAGTACGACACAATCAACGAACGTCGTAGGAGTTAGTTTCCCGGCGTGCTGCTACGAACCTACGAGACAAGACAAGAATGCTGCCGGTTCTATTTGTACAGTGTTCACACACAGCAACGCTGTTTGGGATAGTCAATAGAAATCCTCTACACCTTGAGCCTGACAGAGGAACACAACTTTTCAGGGTGCCGGTACACAAAAACGCGCACGGGTTTCGCACGGCATCGTCACGGGCATGTGGGCCTTTCGCACGGGCACGAAGGTTACCATTTTGATGTTTTGCGGGGTAGGTTTGAGTGGCATATTTTGGCGAGCCATTGTTCACTTAGTTACCCTATGTTAAGTTTCGGCGCTTTCAAGCGAGAGTGAGTTTCTCTGGTGTAGCACCAGAGTTGTGGTTGGCGGGTGAGATGTTCAGTGATTTTTTCTGGTTTGGTTTGCTCCCTTTTATACTCAGAGTGATGGGGTGAGGTGTTGGAGTCGCATTTCAGCTCCAAATATTACGGGCGTGTTCTAAATATTTCTTACATTACGAACTGAAGGTTCGTGTCGCAACAATAACTACTGCGTGGATTGTGGAAATTTGTTTTCAAGTCTGTTCCTGGGTTGGCTTTCGGATGTTGAGAACGACCCCTGGCATCGGGACATCGTGACTCCATTTCGCTGCCAAGTCAGCGTTCGGTTTCGTGCGGCGACGCTCAAGCCACAAACAAACTCAGCGAGGCGTGTGTAATTTTGCGAGCTCAACGAAAGGCTCGCTGACCTTCACCGGAGCGCTATTCCGAGCGCTGCTGGAAGTTTGTGGCGAAAACGGTTGCGGCGCACATCTTTCGTCTTGTGCCGCATGTTTGTCACCGCTGTCATGATGACGCTGCACTGCTGGCTCTGTTCACGGCCCACGTTGAGTGGGCCGTTGCCCGTGTGACAACGCTAATGGGCGATGGTTCCTGATTGGGCCACGTATTGAGCTGGGCCTCCGGCGGGCACCATGTGTAGAAGAGTGTGAGCCAAGGAAGGACCTCCTCCACTGCGGACAGAAAGCCACGCTGCTTCATTCCGAGTAGGTCTGGGTGGGAGGGACAGCACAGCAGCATGGAGTGAAGTGGAGCGCTCGTGCCAAGATGCAACAGAAACTGCTAAAGAAGAAACTGCTTGTAACTGGCTGTGAGCAGGGCTCTCGGTTCAAGGGTAAACATCCGGAATGTCAGGTACATTCCGGGTCTTTCCAGCTGAAATCCTGATTTTGAGGGTTTCGGAATCACAAACCTCCTGACAGATTCCGGGCGTTTCCCAGGAACTCTCTGAGAAATCCGGACTGCGCGAAAACATTTCCTGACTATCCGACTGGAATAGAAACCTACCCGTGCAGGAATTGTAACCCTACCCTCCCCCCCATTGCAGCCCTGACCAATTTTCCCCACAATCTGAAGGTGTGACTGTGGAGCTTTCACAACTACAGAAGTGCAAGGCTTTCAGACTATCACAACCCCTAAATATCACCTTAGCCAGGCTTCGCACTCCTCTAAGTTGTACGCATTTCTGTCGCGATAGACAAGGAAAGTGTCGAACTTGGTGTGGTGCTGAGGGACAGCAACAGCAGCAAGTGTGTACTCTGTATTCTTCTCCATCGTCTCTTCCATGGATGTCTGTCCTGCTTGTACTCGAAGTGCCCGCAGGTTCCGCCTATATGTAGGGAGTTCCAAAAAACACTCTGAAATTCAGATTGAGAGGTCAAAGTAATCCTGAAATAAAGAGAGGTTTTCCTGGTAATGCTGAATTTTTAGGCTATTTAGTGACGCGAATCCTGAGACCGCTGGGTCCTGGAAAACGAAAAATTAGCCCTGGCTGTGAGGAGGAGAAAGAGGGAGGGAGGGATAATGCCTCTGCAGAATCCGAGTTTGCCTGGGATCCAACTCGTCCAGTCTGGGTAGCCCTAAAACTTTGGACTGTTTTTGCAGACCAGAGTTTCTACCAGCTCGGACCGCGCCACTCCAGAGAATGACAGGAAGGGAGGTGGGGGGAATGGGCGGGTTTATAAGGGCGTGAACGTTTTTCATCAGATTTACAAGATGTGTGCATCCCCTACTCGGAAATAGACCGTGGGATTATTTTGGCTTGCCTGTCCATGGACAAGTATCGATATTCCGAATGCGTCAAAAGCAGGAGAGCATAGAAATTTCACCCTGTTTTCCTTGACAAATCAGTGTCATTACCCTGACTTCCGGAGGCCTGGGAGGGATCCCTCGCAGAGGCTGCCGGGATGACTAGATTGAAAAGCATGCAACCTTGCCAGAGAGGCATACCACAGCAAACTCCTGGAACTTTCCGGGGCCATTTGTTTGTGGTTTGAGACCATGGCGGGTCGCGACGACACGAGTTGAGGTCCTTGGGATTCTTGCCGAAAAATCGACCGTGACGGCTCCTCGCGTGATTACACGTATTCTCGCGAACACTCCATAGCGCTGCACTCCATTCGACTGAACACTCCATCTAGCCTAAATCCCTGGGCAGAATCAATGGGCATATTGTCCACGCCATCCGAAACAGTGACAGTATCTTGACCTGTAAACAAAAGGAACCAATCGAACGCTCGCCGTTCTGACAATTTGAGGCCTCTGTTGTGCAAGCGACATCCTACGCCTGATAGGCCGAAGGCTCGGGGCACTGTAATCGACGGCTTACTCGAACCAAGAAAGCGTGTGTTGGACCGATTGGGTTCGAGATTGGCCAATGAGAGTCGGAACCAAAGCTAGCTGGATCCGAGTTGTCAGGCCAACACAAAAATGCTGTGCTGCAGAGGGGGCGAAATTGCGCGCTTCGACAAGAATTCTACCTGGACTAAAACCGTCGACCCTTATCGCTGGGGGATTGCACACGTGGCCGTTTGATCCAATTCGGTCGACCTCGCTTCTCTGTTCCCTCAAAATTTTAGATTTCGGGATTTGTCAAACGGCGAATTTCATGTAGGCCCGAAAAAAAAAAAAAAAAAAAATCAAAGGACATATGTGTGCCGCACCTGGAAGTGTACAGTTGTGAAATTGTCGTGTATTCGGGGCCAAGATGAAATTCGTCGTACGACAAATCCCGAAATCAATCGTTTAGAGGGAACTGTAGCGCGAGGTCGACCGAATTGGATCAAACGGCCACGAGTGCAATCGCCCATCGATAAGGGTCAACGGGTTTGATCAAGGTAGAATTTTCGACGAAGCGCGCAATTTCGCCTGCGGGGAGTGTATAATGTTGTAAGCATTTTTTCCCCCTTTACCGGATTGAACTCCATCTCGTACACCCAAACTCTCGGAAGACCAAGCTCGGTCCGCTTCCAAAGCAACCCCGAGGCTGGCTCGCGCCGCCTCCGACCTTTTGACCGCGCCTGTACCCAACCTAGCCCTCCGGTGTCCTCGCCTAGCTAGGGCTTTCGTTATATATCGCTAGGCTCTCATATGTGTACTCGTAATTATTGTTCAGCGCACTCTCAGTTATAATTCATAACATCTGGTATCAGAGCTAGTTTCTTGGTTCACCCCACTTTCTCAGAACGGTTTTATTTCCAAGGCGTGTTTAACCCTACGGGGCTACAAAGCAGTTATTCATGAGCTAGAGTTATTAGCTCCCACAATTACGATATCGATTGCGCCCCCTCCCCCCCCGCCCCCCCTTCCCCCTTGCGGTTTCTTACCACGGCCTTCGTCCCTGACTAGAAGCTGCCCACGAATTTACAGGAGCTGCAAAGTTTTATGGGTTTTGCTAATTATGTTCGTCATTTAACCCCAATATGGTTGGGATAACAGGACCATTACCTGACCTGCTGCAGAAGAGCACTCCGTTTGAGTGGGAGGAGAGACACCCGACTGCTTTGACAAACTCTAAAATCTTCTGACGTCACCCCCGTTCATCTGAATCGCCGATCCATTACGACCGTTCGAAATTCTGACTGATGCCAGCGATTTCGCCATCGGAGCGGTACTATTACAAGACTTTGGCGATGGACTCCAACCAATTGCATATGAGCCCAGAAAGTTGCAGGCAACCGAGCGCAACTACCCTGTCCACGTCAAGGAAATGCCCGCCATTGTACACGCATTCAAAGTTTGGCGCTGCTACTTGAGGGGAGCCGATGTGACAGTACGGACAAACAACAAATCCCTACAGCATCTCCGCGCTCAGCCAAACCTCAACCCACGACAGATTCGCTGCATGATCACCTACAAACGTAGGGCCAATAACATCACCGACATCCTGATACGACCGTCTACCCACCTAGCCTCCATCATCATTGCACAGACCAACCCTCTCCTCACCAGCTTATTTACCAACGGATATGCCACTAACCATTTTTTCACCCGCAACCTCCATACCGAAAGCCATCAGGGCGAAGGGAATTTATTTCTTAAAAAGCCGGCATTGACCGCGTATGGGTTCCCGCATACCGCCTTCTTCGCGAGCTATTAATTCAAGAAGTCAATGATTCTAACTTCGCCGGTAATTTCGGGGTTGATAAAACTCAAAAGTTACTCTGCCATTACTATTATTGGCCTGATTTGTCGTCTGTTGTGCAGAGATATGTTGCGGCATGCCCGACATGCCAGCGCATGAAGCCCTCCCGACAACAGCCAGCTGGATTGCTGCAACCACTCGAGCCACCCCAAAAGCCGTAACAATACG